AAATTTTCTATTAAATTACTTTTTGAACAAATTTATACATAAACATTTATTTATTCTGTTATAAAATTTGAAATAAAATATAGGTGGAAATACTGCAATTTTTAGAACAAATTAGAATTTGTTTAAATAAAAAAATACGCTATCAATTAATGTTAACAACTTCGGAATAATTTCAATTTGCTTAAAATATTCGATTATCCATTGATATCTAATTCCAGTCGGATATATAATTAAACTTAAATCCTCTTAAAGCTCTTTTTCTATTCGCTCGAATGACGTTACGCTCGATTTGGCGAATCAGCAAAATGCGAAATCTGTTAACATAGTAGCTATTATTTCACCACGGGGAACAGGACTCCCTTTGTCAGTTTTCCACCCATAGTCTTTAACTATGCACGAATTCCTCGCTGTTGGACAACTATAGAAAACGTTTCCAACAGACATGTCACAACTTTCGTACATTATTCGACACTTTTCTCATTCTCTATAGCTGATGCTTTTAATGGTTTATAAAGCAGGCAGTCCGAGTAAACGCGAATTGATTGAGTTTTGTGGGTTAACAGGCAGTACCTTGTCGAGCCCGCTTCTATATCACGTCGACCTACCAACTCCGATTTTCGACGTTCCCGACTTTCCTCCATCTTAAAACTAGTAATCGACTGTGAATTTAACAGATTGAGACACGACAGTTAACCGACATTCCTCGCCATTTCTTCTAACCCATCCTTCCTTCCACCCACTTCCTTTTCCCGGCTTCCCATTTTGCTCCGGGCAGCTTCGGGGTCGATACTACTATCGCACTTTACTTTCCAGCCCTGGGCTCTTTACCTTTCTTTCTCGCCTTGTTCCCACCTTTGGGAATGAAGGCCACTTACTCGAGCTTTTTCTCTTTGACCTACTGCTGGCATCGACACGCAGATCCGTAATCCCTTAGCACGAAACACGATAAGCAGTGAGTTACTCTTTCAAGATTTACGCCACGGACACAGCAGTGATCATGGTTCGGTCAGTGTATTAGATCATATATATTATATCGTGATCGATTTCGAACTAAGCTCAAGTCTTTGATCTCTTAACGGTTTGTTTATAAAAAAATATTATCGCAATATGACGTTGCTCACGCGAAGTGACCTTTCGCTATCGCACTTGTATCTTTTTATAAACTCGCAGAATGTTAAACTGTAAATGGTTGAAAAACGATATCATTTTTTAAAACAAAACCTTACGTATTTGAAACAGCTTTGAAAACATAGATGCATCGTGGATATTTTTTATCGCTTTCACGTAATTATTTTTTTTTAATTTTACGAAGCATCGTACGAATGGATCTATGTATGTTATGCATCGCGGGGAGGTTCAATTTCTAGAATAAAAAAAAACTGGATATATACGCAGACAGGGCGTTGCATATAGAAAGCCGAAATAAATAACAAACCGCGTCGTCGCTGAAAATGACTATTCTATTTCCGTATAATACCGAATTTCAGTCTCTTCACGCTTTTTTTTTACTCATCTACTTTTGACCTGCAGCGGCAAAAGTTCGCACGAGCTGTGGTAACCGACGTATTTGGAGCAGCTCACAACTAGTTCGCGAAAACAGATTGTTATAGTTAGTTACTTCACGATATTTTCTGACGAATGCATTTTGATGATGACTTGCAAAGTTGCTTAAAATATATTCCGACTGTCAAATGATACGGAAATCTTGGAAAGTTCTGAAATAATTTTATTATAAACTCAGACTCATGATAATGACTGAATAAATAAATATAAATATAATTGTCTATAAAAATATAGATAATGAATGAATAATTGTAAAAAACGACAAATATACGAATCATATGCAATTCAGGACGCAGAAATAAATTTAATACATAAAAAATTTAATTATATAATCATAATGTTTCGCCTTATATTTCGAAATAATTTACTTATTAGATTTGTTTAGTTATTTTTATCATGTATAAAAGAATGTAAAAAGGGTAATACAAAGTCTGTGAGAGATTGTTTGAAGAAATGAATAATTGATAATTTCCTCTTTTTTTACTCCGTATTTTTAGAATCTTTTTTTCTTACGATGTAATACAATGAAAAATGGATATCCGGTCTATATACGGTTGAGTGAATGGGGCAAGTCATATATGATTATACAAATTTGTCTTTCTTTATTGCACTTAAGGATTATTAATAATTTAATTGTCGTCAATTAGATACGATAACCAGTAAATGATTTATTTGTCACATTGTGAAATCATTTCGCTCTCACCGAAATCACTTAAATCTTACTGAATTAAGTATTTCCTATCGCACGTACGATTCTACTTCTCGTTTATTAATGAAGGTTACCAACGAACGTGAAGGAAGAACCTTACGATCACGAAAAGGTTTTCACTCAGAGAAATAGATAATGTCGCGATTAATCGACTACTTGTTGAAATAACGATAATTCCTTTTAGCGGTAAGACCATCAAGTTCTCGAATTCTCCTCTCAAAGCTATCTATAGAGCATGTACATCCTAAATTATGCATAATCTGTACACATGGCGCACTGTGGATTGTATATAACGGAAACGGACGTGCATCATCTATACATATACAAATGTCCTGTTCCTACATGTATTTATATTTCATGTCCGCTTGTTTAGAGCATGCTAAATTTATGATAATAATTATCCGCATTGGACTAAAATACGAATTAATTTTAACAAGTCTCGATGAGCTCGAGAAATATAAAAAAATATTGTAAGTTTATTCCCGGGATAAAATTACACTCTTCTATAAAATTGAATGCTTTCTCCCTGTAAATGGAAGCTCGCATTCATATCTTATTCCTTTCAATTTTAATCTTTACCTTTAATATACTTCTCATATCTTTCATCGCGTGGCGCGAATGCATTTCTATGCTCTGCTGCATGTTGCACATCACTTCAGAAGTGAAATTAGAGACCTCTACGCAGCAAATTTTAGTACACATATTATATGTATGTATCACTAATCATATAATATTTTATATAGCCAGAAAGAACGCTTTACTCAATAGTATACACAAAATGTTAACATTTCAATATTTATCAATTCTTAAATTCTTATGTTAGGAAGAAAATTTTGAAGAGAAAGACATTTTCTCTCAATTTTTAAACAAGAGTACACATTTAGAGATTTTAATATTTAAACAAAATCAACTCTCCTATTTCGCATGATAATTTTTTATTTTTGACAAATTTTGTAAACAATATTTATATTAGATATATATGTATTGTATATGCATGAGATTATTTTATTTTTAAATTAATATTTTGATTATTGTAATGAAATGCATACTTGGTTGTAAAATTTTTGTATAATGTTATTGAATAAAAAGATTGAGTTTTGTTTTTTTTTTTGCACGATGAAGAATTGACGTTTGCATTTGCATTGCAAGCCACTAACATGATAGATTAATAGCGTTTATAAAAACTTGGGAAGGACGCTGACAGGCTGGATAGATTTTAGATTCAAACGTCTTCTAAGTAAATTAATGAATCATGTTGTTCTCTTAAGGTTGGAGATTGTAGAAGTAAGTCCGTAGTACATATATCTTGACTAAAGCGACATTGTACAGTATGTACGTTTTGTAGAATTAGCTAAAGGGTAGAACGTAGCTGCATGCAACGAACTTTAATGTATTTTGCGATTATCTCAAAGTTGCATTTTCAATCTCGCCGATTTATACTGAGATTTTCTAACATTGTAGAAATCGACAATACAAATAATGAAGAAGTTTTTGATATGCGATTCACGCAGATGGACGTTTTGTAAATGTCTTGCGCTCGGTCTGGCGTAAAATAAGAACAGAAAACGTCGAGTGGAAACGACATTTTCTTATTGTCTGATCGCAATCGGAAACTCGACGAAGCGCGGAATTTGTTGCGAGCGTTGTAAAATTTCCTCGAACGTAATGAACCTACTCCGATATAATATACGGTGACATTAATGTACATAGTAGTAAACCCAAGTCAATATTTAACAAAACAATTCAGACACGCTATAAACGTTGTAATTAGCGTGGTCAAACATGATCTAACATCTATGCGATGTATCTATACTTTTTGTGCGTAATACAGTCACTCCAACGCCAAAATTATTCCTATGTTTATAATTGTCAAATTTCTTAAGTATCTTTCAATGAAACTATACTCGTTTATTGCTCATTAAACATAAATCGCATCACAACACTTACTTGACTGATATAATCAAATACACTTGTTACCGACTAATATACAGGGTGTCCCGACCTTTTTTGCCAATCACTTTTGTGTAGATAGAGTGGACTAAACTGAGTCGAAAAGTCCTTTACCATTTTGCAATTTTCGCAATAGTTAACAAGATATTAATTACTAAAAATTGCAAAATATTGAATAATTTTTTACTCAAATACTATCAACTTTACAAAAAAACTGCAAGTGACAAAAATTATTTATTTTCTTCTCATAAAGTTTTGAGAATTTTTTTAGAATTTTTTATCAACTTTTTAGTACTGCATTTTCTTATTTTTATCAACATGAGAAAATACGATATTAAAAAATTTTGAAAAAATTCTGAAAAAATTCTCAGAACTTTATGAGAAGAAAATAAATAATTTTTGTCTCTTGCAGTTTTTCTGTAAAGTTGATAGCATTTGAGTAAAAAATTATTCAAGACCAATATTTTGCAATTTTTAGTAATTAATATCTTGTTAACTATTGAGAAAATTGCAAAATGGTAGAGGACTTTTCGACTCAGTTTAATCCGCTCTATCTATACACAAGTGATTGGCAAAAAAGGTCTGGACACCCTGTAGACATTTGTGTAAAATTAAGAATTGAAATCTCTTATTGCTTCATGTTCGAAATCGCATAAAAATTGCATTGCGAAAGAACGCCATGCATTTTTGTTGTAAATTCGACTACGAGATGATCGCACAGTTAAGAGCTAATGCATCGTGCTTCTTCTCATTAAACTGCATCTCTGGTACTGTTCAGGCAAGGTGGACGAGAAAGCGACGCAGCTGCATGCGATAGCGTCACTGAAGGTGCTGCTGGATGCCACCAGGCCGCATAACGGCGCCGCGACGTCGACCGCCGCCCATTACTCCGGCGCATCCTCGAAGGAGACGACTCTGCAGCTGCAGCAGGGCTCGCAAGGCACCACCACCACCACCACGACTACGACGACCACTGCCGGCACCACTGCTGGTATTCAGGAACTTCCGAACGGCGGTATCGCCGCCGGTCTGGACGCTGGACTCGATTCGGTAAATATACAAGAAGCACTTATCACGCCAAAAGTCCGTGCGACTATATCTATCGGTTAATTTTTATTCATCATTTTAGTATCGTTGTCTACATTAGGATTATAAATCTTTAATCCTCAACCACTCAACGAGACTATAAAAACTTTACCTAATAAGTTCTAAAACGTTCTGTTTAAAGTACAGAATGTGAGTCTTCTTCTTATTAATACGGGAACGTTCAAAATTTTTTCATTTACAATTTGAGATTTCATAATATTATAATCGTACAATTATCTAAAAATTTTCGTTTGGCTCCAAATAACCCGTTGCTGTAATCGAGGGTTAAGCAAGCAGATGATTAAAAAATTGGTAGGTGGAGTAGTCAGACTACTTCAAAAATATTTTAAATTTATAGTTATATTTTTTAATAGTATTTTATGTAATTTAATTAATTATACCTTTACAAGAAGAATGTAAAAATATAATGAACTTTAAGACTTCTAGGCATCTCCGCAATGGGCAATACTTTATATTTTCTTTTTCCAAAAGGTTTAAGAAAAAACCCACACTTGAAATACTATAGTTACCCCCCACTTATACTCACTTAAAAGTTAAAACTTCGTATAATGATTTTATATAATGATTTTTTTGTATCTTTCTAAATTTTAATACACAGAACTTATATGATTTTGTAAATGTAGCGAGAAATAGCGAAAAACGTTAGTTTGTATCGTTTAATAAAATTGATTAATGTGTCCCCGAGTTATAAATGATTCTCTTAACTCTTTATTTCTGCAAGTGAAGGAAAGAATCGCGTATACGAGTAGAAGAATCTACGATTCGATTCGTTACAGAGTGTACCTCGATTCGAGAGATTGGAATAGTTTCGGCATTTCCCATGCTGCGCACCGTCGTAAAACAAAGAGGCCGAGAACACGTTGATTGGAATTTGTCGTTCCACTTTTCTTGACAAAACGTTCGATTTGTTGGCAGTGTATCTGTCGTTACGTTTCTCGTGACTCGTTTGAATACTTACTCTTTTCCGATGATCCTACAAGAATATTTCAAGAGAAAAATAACTTCCAACCAAGGATAAATTAGTACGATAGGCTAATTTTAGGATTAGTATAACTTTGCAATGGCTGTCGCGTTCCTCAGAGCACGCGTTGCAAAAGGGCACGTTAGTTCGATATCGTAACGTTCTACTTTCCATTGTGAAATGTTTGCTTCTATCACGACTTGGATATCCTGAATTAGAATAGGCAGTTTAATTCCCACAATACTACGAATCACGCGAAGTAATCTTTTTTAACTGGCACGTCGAACGTTGTTATGGATGTAATATTTTATATTATATATTTTGAAACTTCTCCATTTTATCGTAGATTTTCACTAGTATAAAACTAGGACGGTACAACTTTAAAAGTCAACATTTTATTTATAAAGAAAAACTAGAATACGTTAAAAGAATCAACATGAAATCAAAATGAATTAATCAAAGTGTATTAAACAATAATAAATTTAAGTAGGATATTAATGCCACAGTGCTTACACGGTCCTCTTTAAATAATCCCGTTTTTCATCAATTAAGGTTACTTATTGAAACAAAATTTAAAACAACAATGTTACTTTCTATTTAGCTGATCAAACATGCGTGTCCGTAAACGGTCCGCAGAGTAATAAGGATGAGTCCCCAGAGTAATCAAAGTTAGCTTTACGCTCGGAGCCTTAACGCGCAAGAGTATAAATCGGCACAGTGTTCATCCATTAAGTCTTATCAGGACAACCGCAATTTTCACCCGCGAACTTGGTGATCATAAATCAAAGTGTCGCTCGATATTTGTCGGTTTCGAACTTTAAAAGTTCATCCAAGGTTATTTCGACTACGTCGAAATCGGTCGCACAGTGTCGCGTCGCGCCATTACAAGGATGAAATACGCGAAAGTAAGTTCATACTTCGGCGCATCTCTTTCGCAGAGAAATTCGATCTGATCCGGCGAATCCGCGCGGATCCTGGCACGATTGTTGTCAAAAGAAGAAAAACGAAGGTCGATGGTCAATATAAGTTCTTATCTATCATTTGACGCGTTATTCTCGCAGCGGAATTTTTTTTTGTCATTTTCCCTCAGGGAAAGAACGACTGGCGAACAATCGATACAATGGGAAAAGTAAAACCGCAACGAGCGATATTACTTGTCTGAACTTCCCCATTGCTCATCAGATGATATCGTGTAGGACTTTACCTATCCTGGCGCGGACAGAGATAAATATTCAATAATTCTTCCCGACGACACGTCGCGATAGGAACGCATATATTCGAAGACGTCGCATTATCCTGGCCTCCAACTTCGACAAACCGTTTTATCGCTCCCCATCTCGTCTTCGATGTCTTTTGCAGTCTTTGAAAGATTCTAAAGAGGCATCGCGAATTATAGACCCGACAACGAATGAATAGAAATCCCATCTTTAAGTCACTTAACACTCAGTTAAATTTATGATACTTTAAACGTACAAAAAATAATCCACTATTTTTTATGGAATTATTAAATATTTATTGTGAACACTGATATAATTCAATCATAAAAGTGATTCCCATTATTTTTCAATATTTTTCCTCAACTTCTAGGCAAGTTATAGATTTCAGTTCGATAGAAATATTGGTCTTTATTTGTGATTCATCAAGTCTTTTTTTTATTTCTTTGATATTTGTAAATCTTTTGTCAAATAAAAGATGCTGCATCAATCAGAACAAATAATAATCTAAAAGCACTATGTCTAATGAGTATTCCGAATGCAATAAAATATTCGAATCAAGTTGTAATAGTGTATCCTTGATCAATTTCGCCACATAAATCTAAATGACAGTACACCTTGAATAATAAAAATTGATATTAAAATGTCGAAGAAATAAGAAAATGACTTGATAAATTCATTGCACGTAAAGAACGATCTTTCTATTGAATTGGAATCCTATAACTTATCTCGAAGGAAGAAATTATTGAAAAATAATAAAGATTACTTTCGTAATTAAACTATGTCAGTATATTTCGATAATAAATATTAAATTTTATTAAAAAATGTGGAACGTTTTTTATTTGTACATCTAATGCGTAAACAGATTGATTTTTAATTATGATGCAACGTAAATACTAGATTGACTTTTAATTACGATACAAAATCAATTTTCGCTAAAATGCCGAATATTTATAATAATATATACACATACATTAATTTTTGTTTTAATTAAAAAAAAATTGTCTCGAGTGGCGGCAAAGCGAATCAGTCGTCGCAACAAATCGCCATGCCGTGCACGACCTCGATTTAAATCGATAGTTTGCGTCGTGTCATTTTCTTGCGTCAAACATTCGAGCTTTTATCGCCACATTAACATTTATCTACGGCGCGAGATACTCGCTTAAAAAATGCATCGCATGTAAGCGTGACACGTTCACCGTATCGAATCTTATCCGGCATCGCCCTTCACTTTTTACGATTCTTCGACTAAGATCAACTCAGGCAAATCTGATTGAATCAGCCACGATATCCTGCGAGTTTCCGTTGAAAAGATATCGCAAAATTGTAAGACGTCGCAACTTTTAGTACGCAATTCTATTTTAACGCTTTTCGTAACGTTACTTGGTTATAACGTAGAAAAGAGATATGAGTCGTATATGACCCATAAAAATACATTTTTTTTACATTATTACAAATAAAATTTTTTAATTAAAAAATTATGTAATTTTAATACTTTTTATTTACGATAATTAATTGGCATTTGTTAATTAAAATATCGACAAATGTATATGTAGTGATTGAATATGTAGCGTTTGAGGAAAGAACCGTCCTTTGATAAGAAATTAATTTTAATCGAAAACAGAAATTTACTTTACAATTCAATAGAAAATATAGAACACAATGTGAATAAAAATGATTTAGATTACTTACCAGCAAGTATTTACTCACTTAAAATGTCGTGTAAAAGAGACCGCGCTTTTGCCGGCCGGAAACACTTCCACAACAATCGCTGTGATATAAAAGAACTCTGGTATAATTGTTCTTGCACCAATCGTCCTTATAACGACGCAAAGGGAGATATCAGAGAATGACGAAACAATTTCCCCGAGCGATGCATAATCGTCGTTGCATTTCGGAGAGCTACTCTGCGGAAATATAAATCGGAACTTGACTATCCAGAGTTCTCTCGAGGATATTAGTCGGTACTGGCTGGTATCGTGGTGTATGGACGGGGCGGCGAGTAGTCTCAGGCGGCTTTGTCCTAAATGAGCGGAGAGAGGGCCTTTTCATTTTGAATGCATCGGAGAATCTGGGTCAATGCTGCATCCCACTTATCCATTGCGCGTTTCCAGCCCCGCGCTCTTCCCACGAATAATCGGAACAAAGTCACCAACCCTGCAGTTTTCCACGGAAGTTTGCGAATTTGTGGGAACGAGCACGATGCGCCTGAAAAAGCTCACACGATGATTCGGTCCAGCAAGTAGTCTCGTTAAGTTTACAACAGAGTGATGAGATTCTAGAGATTAATGGTCCCCGAGAATTAAGCGAGGCAGAGACGACTTAGTTCTTTTATCTTCTCAAATTTCGCAAAGCTTCCGATTCTTGTCTTAATTTGCTTCTCAACATTTAAAATATAATTTATTACTTGCAGTAACATAATTTATTCCTTCGGTATACGGATTATTTAGTTGTAAACATGAGAATAAATCTCATACATTAACTCGAGCGACTATATCATATTTAGCAAACACAGTTCTTTAATGTCAATCTCCGCTAATGTACAAACATTTGAAACGAGAATTAGTCCAGTATACAAGAACCTATACTTATTTCATTCTTGAATATGAGTGTGTTAGAAATGATGATACTTTACATTACAAGCTTTGCGGCATTGTATCGTGGTTTGTTCAAGAATAACAGAAAGATACTTAGCAATCAACTAATTATTAAAAAGATCTTTGAGCTTTATATTTTTAATAATGCATGTAAACCTTTTATTCGTATTCTTTAGAATTACAATGAATGTTTCATTCTAAGCATCAACTAAATAAATTTGATTTGCAAGTATTTTAGACTGGAATTAAATGATAAAAAACGTGATTCCAAGAGAAACCTATTTTCTTAAATATTTATTTACAGGGCGAAGAGGATGAACCTCCAGAGGCCTTGAACATGGGCTGGCCAAGTAGTCCAAGAAAAAGGCTAACATACATTTTAGTCGCGCCAATCTTATTTCCTCTTTGGTTGACGTTACCGGATACGAGAACACCTAGAGGTAATCAATGATTGTCTTTCAATATCTATCATAAAAGTTCGAGCAACCTATAATAAATTATTTTTCACTCAGGTGGACATCTTCCGATTTCTAATGTTGTTTTTTTCAATATATTTTAAAAGTTTATATACGTAAGATATAAGATATAATATATATATATATTATATATAAAATATTTTTTTAATTTAAGAGATGCTAGTGTTTTATAATGTTTTTAATAAAATAAAGACAATGTTATTCTCCCTATTAGTGACTCTCTAAAAAGGACGATGGCTCCATTAATATGTTCTCAATTTATGTGTGCCTATCCGCATTTGATTTATTTTAACACATAATTACTCTAAAACACATTACAGATAATAAATATAAACTAATTGTTTAAATTAATATTGCATGATTAATATTGTGCATCATTATTTTAATTATACTTACAACTTTACTTACAATGTACACAGAACACAACGCTCCAATACAGAGCACATAATAGGTACAAGTTTAAAATCTCGTGGTATTACTAGACTCATATAAATTCCTCTAAGTTGTGGTATGTATCTTTCGAAAAATGTTTACTATATTTTAACAATTAAAAAATATAATATTATCTTTGGTATCGTATATATTAATAATTTATTATAATAAAAAAAATCTTTTCTTATTTATTCGTGCTAATTTTCTTTATGGCTTACTTAAATACAAAGACACACTAATAGGAATAATTACCCTCATGCATATATATATGTATATGTATATACAGGATGCTGATTGAATTTTATTTTCACAAAGCTCTATTATTAACCTTCATATAAATATCTATATTTAATTTCGCATTGTGAGTATTTTTTTAATTTTACAAAATTAGAAATTATATATGTATTATAAAAAAATAGCTTCAAAGCGAAATTAAACATAGATATGAAGATTAATAGAGCTTTGTGAAAATTAAATAAAATTAAATTTTCCCGGCGATTTGATCGATGAGAGGTGACCGAATATTTACACTAACACCCATGTTTCATCCGACCTTCTCTTCTAATGTTTTCATTGTTGACTGTTCGAATAGTAATATTAGGTTTTTTTTCATACTGACAGATAATCGGTCTTGAATGGAGGCGAAATGAAAATTGGAGCAGAGACAAAAGCAAGACCTTTTATCAAGTGCAAGAGCGTTTTAACAGTTTCATTTACATATCTTGCATCTATTGCGAGACCGAAACTCCTTTCTCCTTGAAAAGTCAATTAGGATATTTATGAAACGAACATATAAGCCTTCAAGGACAGCGAATTCAATTTTTCAAAAGTGTTTTAATCAGTAAATACGTCTATAAATTTGCAACGATGACTTAATGTCTTCCGCTCTGCTTTCTGTCTTCATTTCGCGCGTGTGATTGTGCTCTTTATCTCTATTCTTTGATATAATAATGAGATGATATTAAGACGTAGGTAATATATCAAAATAATTTCTGCTCCAATTTCATAACTCGTTAATGGAAGAATATATATTCACGTGTATATTCCCCATTCGCTCTCGACTGCAATAAATTGCGAACCGCAATAGATATCCGACCTGCGTAAGGAAACATTAAAATTGGCGGAATTCAAGAATCTCACGCGATACCTAGATTTAATATTATATTATATACTTGCTCTCTCTCTTATATATTGATTGTTTGCATGTATATCTAATAGCTCACTTTGCTGATAGAAACGTGAATGATGATTTATCGTTCGCTGGAAATATTATCTGAAGAGAAGCGATAGAAAAGCGTTTCAAATGCACCATTAATTACGACTGAAAAAAAAACTCTAGGCTACCGTATTTTTTTTTAGCCTGCCGAAAACGTCGAGATCAGATTAAATTCTATCAATCAGCGCGAGCATCGCGCGATGTTTTGCTGCCGCCCGGTATCGACCCCGTAGTAATATTAACTCAACTCCAGGAATTCAGGATTTCGAGCTATCGATTTCGTCGAGGTGGAAACTTCATCTCATCAACACAAGAGACTAATTAAACGGCACTTATAGTTCACTTGCCGCATAAATTTACATTTTACTTAGCTTACTTAAATTTACACTTTCTTATCATTGTTTAACTTGTAATAATATTTTGTCGAAGATTAGATGTAGAAAAAGAAGATAAATTTTTTTTTAATCTCGCGATGAGACGATCGATGGCGGGTTATTTGCGGAAAATATTACGATGGCACAATTCGGTTGTTTAGTGGGACAAGCAGGAACGAACGTCTATATCAGATCCGGTATGTGCGGCGTATCGATTTAATAATAAATGCTAAGATCAACCCTAAACGGGACACGTTGCTGCTGTTATTCAAACCACCATTTATCACGCGTCTCCTGCATTATCTCAGCCTATTAATGCATTTCTATCGCGATATTGCACAATACGACGAAAGATGATATTGACACGCTAATTTCGCATTGGGGACTGATTGTTGCATACGTACAAACGTATAGATACGCACACGGTACTCTATTGTCAGCTAAAATTCCGATATGTCCTTTGAATTTCAGCAATCTCAGCCTTTGATTACAGATCCATTAATATGAATGTTATCACAATCAATTATTATGGGGTTGTACATACCATAAGGCACATATAAAAAGTTGTGAAACTATTTGTTTATTAATATTTATACAAAAAGTTTGCATGAATCAAGACATTTCTTTTTACATAAGTATCAACAAATTTTCCTGATTTTTTTTTTCAATCATTGACTTTATGAAAGCATTACATGAAACTATCGTTATTGATGCATTACATAAAACTATCACTATTAATGCATCAATACTTTTGCACATCTCATTAAAAAATTATCAAATAATCACTAAAATTTAACCAGAATGTAACTATTTTTATATAAAATTAAGATTTATTTTCATGGTGTAACTCTTTCCTCGAATAATTAAAACTGCCCGAGATAAACTTAATTAATTTCACTTAAATTAAGCAAATTAGTTATCCCGTAGGGCATAGCATACCTCCATTTATTCACATTATAAAAATTAATAGAAAAATTTTCGTTTTATGTTTCTATTTTGTTGTATAGACTTATAATAAATATAATAATAATTAAGGAAAAATCAATTTTTATAATGTTTGCCACAAAGATTTGTTATATTTAGAGCGAATAATTGTTTATACGATATATGTATTAGATTTCTCTGAAAATCATTCAAAAAGCGGAATTCTTTTCCGTCACTCTTGAATTAAACCCTCGAGATTCGGTCATTAGGATTAGATTACGAAACGGATTAGAAATCTCGAACTTCATTCTCGTCATTGTAGCTTTAAAACACGTAAATGCGGCATTAAAATTTGCGAACTGACGGTTCTTATTGGCTAAAGTTTACCTACCGTTATATCTATGCAAGAAAAGGTCCGATATTAAAAATCCTTTATTTAACAATTACTCCATAAATACTTTATTTTAAACAATTCGCTACGAAATTACATTATCACTAAATTATTAGACTAATTATCATTTAATTGCATATCTAAAATCTTATATTTTCATTTAAATTCTACTTCATATATCAATATACGTTTGATTTCCAAAAATCTTTCTATCCAAGTATGTATTTTATATCCAAGACAAACTATTTTTCGTATTGCATAGTTTAGTTAGCCAATGTTTCATAATGATATCGGAATGGTAGGTAATTGACCAAACATATTTAGCGTACTTAAATTATCCCCGAAAATTACAGCTGAATGATATATGCGAATTAGAGTCCCTATAATAAGAGTCAAGACATGAGGGGCGATGCCCTCGTAATTGGTCGCCGCCATTTCTAGGTGCTTTCGATGTGTTAGTGAATCTGTGCATTGGTGTGAGCAACTGTTTCATGGTGTAATAGTACAAACAGGCACGAACGCGTCTGTTTGTGCCACGCGTTATTTGTGCTGTTTCCGGCCGGCGCCCAGCAATGGCGTCCTTCCGGTCTTATGTCTTGACTCTTATTATAAGGACTCTAATGCGAATGAAACGTTGGCGCCACGTGGTCGACTGCATAATTACGAGCGAAGAAATATCCCGTGTTAACGCAGACATTGTTGTCTTTACAATTCTGATGGGAAAAATTATCAAAGTCATTTTTGATGTCGATGTTATCCTCCACGATGATTAATGTAATCACCATAGGATTCGCAGGGAATGTGTAACAGATGCCACGCATCCACGTGCTTAATTTTAGGGAAGAAGTTCTTCCCGATAACGTTCATCGGCTCGATCTTCTGGATCGCGGCGTACTCGTACCTGTTGGTCTGGTGGGCGAATGTCGCCGGCGACACAGTGGCCATACCGCCGGAAGTGATGGGCCTGACGTTTCTCGCAGCTGGTACCAGCATACCGGACCTCATCACAAGCGTCATCGTGGCGCGAAAGGGATACGGCGACATGGCCGTGTCGAGTTCCGTCGGCAGTAACATCTTCGACGTGACCGTTGGGTGAGCATCCTAATCTCTACTGAAATTCCCGCGTCACAACGTTGTCATGCGTATCGCACAGACCTGTATTGCATTCTGTTCTAAAATATTTTAGAAAATTTAATTTGATTTTATTGATCACTTTATTCACACTTTAAACTTATTTAGTTTTATATATACGGATTGTCCCAAAATTCGCGACTCAAAATAGCAAGAAAGTTCTCAAAAAATTAAGTAAAAAAGTTATTTGTAAATTTTTATTTTAAGCAATAATTTTTTAGATAATAAAACTATGATTTAAAATAAAAATTTACAAATAACTTTTTTATTTAACTTTTCAAAAACTCTCTCTTTTGCTGTAGTATTTTTAATCACAAATTTTGAGACACCTTGTGTACTACCATTTAATATCTAATGAAATTTTTTATATTGAAATACTATTTTGTGTTAATAGTATTTTATGAATATTCATATAATTCTGTCATTATTCTTTCTGTTTTATTTTACATGTATTATTGTTTAAATGTTACAACCTCTTTGTAGTAAAATATTTTTTGATTGGTTACAAAATTAATTTACAAAAATATAAAGTTTTAACTTGCTCACAGGAGAAGCTTATTGTTAAACTGAAATATTTTTGAAAATGTAGTCAAAATGAAAAGAGTAACAGGAAATAATATTTCATTGATACGGTAGAATAAAATTTTAGAAAAACAATAAAAATACTCATAAAAATACACAATTGGTAAAAAGTTATAATATATTTTCATTTTAGAGATATCGCAATAACACATTTATTTCTTATTGATTCCGTATGTAAATAGATTTATGATATATTTCTCGATATATCATATTATACGACATATATATACAAAACAGGAACTGCTAGATTTGAAATAGATAAGAAAGAGGATACTGGGAAGCAAGGATATGAAACGTCATATTGATTTTCCGATAGAATTACAACTTCGAAGAAAAAGTAAGAAAAGTTTAATGTAAAATAGAATGTAGAAGATTAGTATTCATAAATTGAATGATGTAATTGAAAGTGCAAGGAAAATGCAAGAATGTGGATACATTCTCGACACGTTTTATATTAACATTTGTTCATAAAGAAAATTATAACTAAGTGAATAGCACGAATAACAAAAGAGGAAAATTAAGAAGAAACTTTAATTTAATCCAAACTTTAATATTATTCCGATATTGCAATTAAAATGTGAACTCTACGATTTTATTCATATGCGAGTCTAATATTTGATTAGTCTCAGTAAAAACGATAGTTTGTAAATTTTTTTGTTGGATAATATTATAATTGTAATAAGGATAGTATTATAACTATATAAGTATTATCTTGTGTAGTCTTAAAATATAACTAATTCTATAATATTAAACGATTATGATTAAGCGCGAGGAGATAATAATATTAACGTCGTACGTAAAGATTTTTTCAAAACTTTCTTATGCCTTGAAAGAGCAAAACAATATAAGATATCAAAATAGTGTGTCGTAACTAAGAAATATAATACACTCCTGAAAGCATCCATAGTTTTCCCTGTTTTTGAGCTCGAAACCCATTTGCGTCGTACTATATTGAAGGATCGATTAACGAAAAGGGCCAGATGCCAAAGAGGTCGGGAAGCCTATTCGGGAAGGGATATCAATCTCAAATTTCAGTAACGTTAATCGTTCGAGCGAAAAGAGGAAAATAGCATGCTGGGATAACATTTAACACGGTAAAAAAAAATTGGTCGGTTTGCACTGCAAATATCTAGATTTTCAATTTATTAACAGTAAAGGATATTTTGCTTTTTTTTCATATTTTCTAACTTTGACGTTGTTTAAACTAAAAACTAAAGATTGTTAATTAAATACTCAAATCAATTCTGCCAATTTCCATTTACTTTCGCTTCCGTTCACAATACACGAGAAGCATTTATCGTAATATTGTAATATTCTGCTTACATTGACTAGTGGAAGAAACGATGCTATTGTTATTCATATTGTGCATACAGGCATGTATACGCAGCCAATAGTTGGCACAGTTATATCGATGTTGTACTGAATATAATAGTATTTAGCTTCCCTTAAAATACGCAGTTACTCTGAAGATGTCTCTCTAATTTGAATCATTAGATATATGTATAATTTGGATGTAATTTATCAACATAGATTTTAATACTGTAAATTTAAATTAATTCGAATTAAAAATACTGAATACCTTTACATTTGAAAACTTCAACATCTCTTACATATAATTTTTTTCTAACATTATATTTTTATCTAGAGTCATATAAAAAAATTTAACTTTATCAATAATTGTTCTCCAATTCTTTAATTGCATCATTACTTTAATCCTTTTGAAAATTTAGACATAATAACACGTAAAATTGTGCATTCTAAAAAAAACTTTTCCATTCCAGTAATTCAGAAAATTCATATCCTGCAGAACGTCTCACGTTATTCCACAATTTTTCGCTATTAGTAAGCGCGCTTGTAAGCAACTTTTTCTAATATCATTTAGGGTAACTCCGGTATATACGTCGCACCTATCAAAAACTTAATTTATTAAGTATTATTTATTATGTTTAAAATAAATGAACTATATCAGTAAAAACTTTGTACTGTCTACTATTATGAAAAAAATATTAGACATCCGAAATATTTAGTTATCGTATTAAAAAATAAACTTTTTGAAATCTTGCATTTTTGCTATATATAGATAATGGGTGGGATATATGGCAAAAATGCAAAGGTTTCAACAAACTAAACAAAGAATACGAAAGCAAAGCACTTGTATTTTGCTATATACAACATGCTTTACTATTCCTCTACACATATGTATCACGAAATAATCACTAGGTCTTTTACACGCCTTACAGTAATCATTTTATGTAGATTATAATTTGTGATGATGCTACTTGTTACACACACAGTGACAAATCGATTCAACTCACAATAATTTCATTAATATTAACAGTAAGAAGCTAAAATTATAACTCAATACTAATATAACATAAAGACATGTAACAAAGTAGTTGCGAGAAAATTACCCCCACTCCTTTTATTTTTTCTGACTTCCGCGGCGTAAATCTCAGCGCGGCGTATATACCGGAGTTACCCTAATCAAAGTCAACCTTGCTCCTCAGGAAGTTGATTGACGATAGAAACGATTATAAGATACCAACGCCAGTGGAGTTCAATAGACGAATCGAACAATATCGGAATTATTGGGTTCTCCCGCACGTGTACGAACACAATGAACTTAATTGTGTAACTTATACGTAATACACACGGTCCACATTATACCTATGTTAATGTCTTTACACAAATTTCATATATATCTATACACATACGTACACACATATATATATATTCTTTCTCATAATACACGCTCAGGCGTGCGATACGAATCGGAATTTTACTGATGATCGAACGGGGTTGGAAGAAGCGTGCGGAATTGATAGCCGGACTGAGCCCGTCAAGGCATTCTCGCTATTTCACTGTAATCGCATTCGCTAGTCATTCCTCGGCATTATTATATTGTTGGCGCGAGAAATACCGCGAATACTGTTCCAGACACCAAGACTCATTTTCCACGGAAGGTTCTTGAGAATCCTACTCGCAGAATCTCGATTCGTTTTATTACTAAAACCACAAGGTCCTAAGAAAAAATTCTTATCTAATAAAAAAAACACGTAATTATTTTATCGTGGTTGCTTCCATGTCGCATTGTGTGAGTTCGAGCTTTGGATAAGTGCCAAAGTTCATTAATTTTCAAGCTCATTAATTTAATATCTCGTATGGTTTGCATATTTTGCTTATATTAAAGGTCTTGCTAGAGATAACGCAGATTTCGATTTCCGTAATAATGTTATTGACGAGAATCAAATGTAATAAAATTGTTTGGGAGTTATTTCAAAGCTTTATTTCAAAGATTAAACGATCTTTAGTACAAGAGGTAAAAATATTAACGACAATAATTATTGTTAGTAAGAATTAATTTTTTTTTTTACTTCGTCTTCACGGCTACCAATAATTAAGATTCAATCTTTCGAAGCTAATCGCGCATCCCTTTGTGACACTTGATTTCCTAGCAGTCACACACGAGATGAAACATCGAATCGTTCTCGTTGATGATCAGTCATATAAGCCACGCATCCGCTGACCGATTGCCAACTGGCAGACTGCCTGAAAGGGAAGCGGAGAAATATTTCTTCGCATTTGTGTGCGCTGCGTTTATGATTGCACGTCAAACGATATATATCCAAGGCACGTCGACAGCATTGTTACAGACGAATATGAATTATAGATACTATACTTCAAATAATATAGAACACGCAACAATCACCTACACATGCATATGTACATCTGTACTTAATCGATACAGTGGACGATCCGGTCGCACGTGCAATCATAAAACCGTAATATTCTAATAGAATTTATAATGCGAGAGATGTACATCCAGAACATTTTATCGAGAGCACGTGCTACATTTCGCAACTTTATCTCGGAAAATATTTCGAATTGAACATGTACTCATACAAACTTTTGTCTTCATCACGAATATCACTTTTCTCATCATTAATTATCTTTTTCTCCTGAATCATCCTCCTGTGCTTGAGATATATATTTAGATCATAAAAATATTAATTTAGGAATTGTTGAATCGTAAGTTGGCAAATTTAATATGACAAATAATGAAAGATTTAAATAAAAACTTTTCAAAATCAGTACAGTGAGTACAAAAAGTATTTGTATAGAGGAAATTTTTATAAAAAAAAAAAAAAGGTTTTGTTTGTAGAAAATAAACATTAATTAGCAATTTTGTACAATGAATACGTTGTGTCCTAATATAAACAAAAGAGCTTTGTATATTCCTGATTTTACAAGTTGAATTTCTCTGTACGAATATTTATTGTTCGTCCAAGTAATATCTATAATTTTTCATTTTCGTTTATTTTTAAGATAATATATTTTAATTATTACACATCTTTTTAGGTAAAATTATTTTGAGAAATGTGCAGTCTATTTTATTTTTGGTTAAATTGGTAATGTTCACTTTTTAAAAATAAGATTTTTTTAAAAGTTATTTTCCCCACATATATTTTTTGCACTGTAGCTCTCATCGATAACCAAAATATTAATTACTAATAATTTTCTATGTTGCTGTAAATGTTATAGGTCTTTTATTAGAATATACATTCTTGACATTCTAAAATTACATACTTAATTTCTGTACTAGTAGATAACAAGAAAAGAATGACAAAACGTAAACGATCGGAATAGTTGTTTAATTATAATCATATCTGTATGTCAGTCGGGCAATGAAAATAGGCTCGATTTGCGCTTTGATTTTGCCCACAGGCTTCCGGTTCCATGGCTCCTATACGGTTTAATCTACGGGAAACCCGTGGAGGTGAACTCAGTGGGCATGGTGTGCAGCATAGCGATACTGTTCTGCATGCTGCTGTTCGTGATCATGAGCATCGCCTGCTTCAGATGGAAAATGAACAGGGGCCTCGGCTTCACGATGTTCATCCTCTACTTCGTCTTCGTCGCCGTCTCGCTGATGTTCGAGTACGAGATACTGGTCTGTCCGGTGTAGGGCAGCCAGGACAGCGCAGCCGCGACAGCAGAGGTATTAAAACTCCTCCGGAGAATGGATACGTCTGCGAAACGGACGCACACTTACGGGTCTCGTCATCATCATCGTCATCGTCGTCGGCGAGTCTTGGCCGACGAGAGAACTCTTCCCCGCGGTCGCCGCTTCGAGTCGAGGAGGAAACCGCGCCTGTCATTACCTTCCGCACGCGCGTGAAGGGGACTTGACATTACGAACGGCAATAGTAGCACCATCTCACACCGCCACTATCACCGATCATCGAGTCTCACAGCTACTTCGCGTACCAGATTACGAAGCGTTTTGCTCTAGTCGCGAGAGGTGTACATATTGTATAAAAATCTTGAAATACCTGAAACGAAATACTCGTCTTGTTAAGGATTAACCGAGCGCGCCACTCCGTTCGAGTGCGCTACTTTATTGTTTAAGCATGTTTAAGCAGGCGAGCGCGTTAGCCGATCGTGCCAAGGACCGAACTATAAGTTTACATAATCCGTGGAAGGATTTTTTGGCACAAACTTTTAAGACTCCCTGGTCATCTTCTTTTTCTCCATTTTTTTCTTTATTATCTCATCCTACTTTTTAATTATTACTCATTAAGCGACACTGTACGTGAAACAAATTGATCACAGTACTGTTATTAATTCACTTGAAATTATTACAATAAAGATTTACAGAACGCTATATATTAAATTATATTCTGTAAGGCTATTTCTAATTATAATCATGGGTATCGTTAGATATCACTTGATTCGTTCATTTATCGAAACATCACGTTTTTCGAGTATATTTATAATAGCAATAATGTTAGACTTAAAACGCGATGTTACCAATAGTGTACAAAATGTTACCGTAGGTCTTCTCGTTTAACTCCTTGGCACGCTCACGTCCGAATATTATACATAACGTTATCCTTGAAAGAAGTGACCTGACCGCTCGCCGATTTTTCTCTAAAGCAAGAATTCTCTTCGCCTCTAATATCATAGAATAGCGTTATAACTTCTCTTACTCTGTTGTACTCACGGAATCCAATCTGCGGTGCGGGGTTCGGCGTTCCATTCTGACGACGAAACGGCGCTCATAAATCTCGAGTGCCGCATACGCCAGGTGCACATTTCAGGCAAGTTACATAATTTTATATATTTTCGTTAACCAAAGTTACTTACGGTATATTATAATATGTACCACAATATACATTATGTATTATGCAAAAAATTTTTGCCGTAAACGCAGAAAATGCGCTTCAGTGCTTTTTTCGTGTTTTATATTTTCAATATTTAACAATCATTTTGAAAAATTAAAATGGGAGCATGTTTGACTGTTTAATAAAATAACGTTCTATATTACTTTATTAAATGTTCTACATTCATGATGTTACGTGAAAAGCTTGATCAAAAAGTTTTCAAATATTGATTTATTAAATTAATGTGATTCAAATACTGGCGTTCACGTCTCAAATGAAATGGCTGATCGTCGCACCGGATTTTCAGTATACGATCGGAACGGATGTTGTGTTGATACGTGAATAAGATAGAATAGCGAAAAAATATTAATCGGAAATGCGTTAATCTATTTGTTATTATATTTCCTTTGCTTTTGTTTTGATAAATCACTGGCAGATTCGTAGAGAAACGCAGGAAACGAACGGTTTATTTGAATCAAAAGAAAATGTGTTCATTGTTGCATAGCGTTAAAATTTCACAAAAGGTAATCCCTTGTTTATATCAATTATTCATTTCGAAAAAAAGCGCATTTCCGATCAATTAAACTTTTATTTTTCAATGTTATTACATTTAGGAAATTTATTACATGTTTTCACGAAAAATTGTGTATAGTAGAACCTGGGCAAATTTTTTATTGCTGATCAGTGTAAAGTTAAGTCACGAATACAAAGAAATATCTCGTTCGCGTAAGACATTTAGATCCGATTCCGAACGTGTTTTCTCTTAAATACAATGATTATTACTACCGTAACTATAATATGTAAGCGACATGCAAAAAACAGACTTTCTTAAGCGCATATAGAAAATTGTTACAAATCATATACTCGAATTGGTGCATCATGCAAAGATTCTAAAGGATCACTTAAGGGTATACTCGTGTCGCTTGCTGATGCATCTTACGTGCGATCGAATCCTCGTGCGATATTTTCTCTACATAGGACAAGAGTATCGAAATATACTGCAAATATTTGCACGTGAAATGTAACATTATTATGATACGCTCTTACAAAGCGGAAGACAAATGCCGACATTGAACAAATTAGACATTGCACTTTCCGTGATGTTCCACGTTAGCTTGATACTCTCCGAGCAGTTATTTTTTTGCTAACTTCTTTCAAATTTTCGATATTGCACTATGACACATTCTACTAAGATACTGTTAGAAAATATGATTATTATTATGGTTATTATATGTACACAGTGAAGATAAACGGGTAATAGAATGAACAAGTTCATATAGGTGTGTATGTGTGTGAGATTGGGAGAGAGACAGAGAAAGGGAACGAGAAAATGAGAGAGAACGATAGAATTAAAAAGAAAGGAAGGGAGGAAGGAGAATATAGGAACATGTATAGTCGAGACATGAAGTCGGGCGACTTTTAATCCAGATTACAGAATCCATGTTGTATAAAGCGTTTGTAAAGAATACGTTTTAAGGACATAGAGGTAATAGTTATAATATCGATTATATTACATGATATCGATTATATTACATATACGAGGTGAACAAAATGTTATTATACATACCTACGGTTTGAGAAAGATACAACCAAAGAAACAATATTACATTTTCGGTAGTCTGAACGCCTAAAAGCGGCCTAGCTTTTTATTAAGCCTACAGCTAATGCAAAAATTGATCCGCGAAGAATATAAAGAAGAAAAAGACCATAATAAAAATACCGTCTACGTTAATCGGTAGAGCGAATTTTAGATTATCAAAATCACACGTATATATACATATAATAGAGAGAGAAAGAGAGAGAGAAAGAGAGTATGTGTGTACGCGTCTATGTGTGTCTTTATGTGTATGTGAAAATTCGGCGATGAAACATAAGAATATATTAATTATATATTATATTAAACGTTATATTTGTCGCATTTTGTATGATCTCGATATTGGAAGCAAGGAGAATGGTTTTTCCATCTCGCAGCTTATGTTCCAGCATTTACATCATACATAGCCCGCGTGTGTGATAAGTAATTATTAGCCTTCCGACGCTATGTCTATCTGTCTCTGATCTCCCAAATCATAACTGTGCAATCCGGTTCGTGCGTTCGATTATTCAAAAAATTTCGTAGTCTCTCTCTCTTTCTCTCTCTTTCTCTCTTTCTTTCTTTCTGTCTTCGCAATGCTTGGATCCCTCATGCGACGAAAAGCGTCGTGAAACTTCTGCGCCCAGAGACAGGAGAAACCCAGAGACTATGATTCCACCAGGGAGGAACTAAAATTGACCGATGATACGTGAAGTTAGTTAACGATATCAGATATCGAAAAATTAAGGAAAAATATCGTGATCATGAAAGATCGTGATATCAACATCTTTCACATGTGGCGAAATTCCGCCATGATCTTTCAGTTATATATGTTCATTTTCTTTTACGCGACATAACCGATTATGAGCGACAAAGAACGGTTTAACTACAACGTTAAAACTTTAAAGAGATAATACAGATAATTTGCAGCTACTAACAGAATGTAGTAACCATTATGGTTTTGAAAACAAACAATGACAGTAATCTTAGGAACAATGCGGTCTTCTCGAATTACCACTACTTAAGATAACGATGCCTCTTTTTGATGAGCTCTTAGCATTACACTAAGACAATGGATTTTGTCAACATGGCAATCCTCTCTCTGCCGATTAATTCTTAAAAAAAAAGAAAGCTCATCATTTTTGTTTTTATGAAATTTCATTTCTCAAATAATGTTACTATTTTGAAATTTTCGCTTAAGCGATTGTACACAATCTTACATCAAATTTCTAATCAATGAATAAACTATAACTTGGAAGTATTGTGAACGAAAAAAAAAGAGTACCGTTTTTAAAACGTATAAAAGTTAAGTTACTCTAAAAGTAATAAAAACAAACTTTGAAGACGCAATCAGACTTTGTGAATGAAAATCATAATAGGTCAGAGCGAACGAACAAACTTTAACACAGCAATCTGACAAAAATCGAACGTGTTAACTCGTGGCAGGCCGCCCTCGGATTTAGCAACGATCGCCAGTGGAAAACAACGTTAGGTTTCTTCGTGACGTTGAACATAAACGGGGAAATGTGTAACGGAGAAACGCCGGAGAGCGCAATACCGAGGCGTTTTACGCCGTAGTGTGCGAGGCACGAAAAGGATTAGTCTGTCAGTCGGGCGAAACAACGAAGGCGGATTAGCGGTGAATCGCGTGATAAGTCGAAGGTCGGGTCGGAGGGCTCGAAGCGCAGCAGTGTTCGTGTAATTTATGCTTTGTAATATAATATACCGTAGGACAAACATCATCGACGTTGATAAAGCGGGATAGCTTGTTTTGGTTTTGAGTGTCGAGCATTTCGATTCGAGGGATCAATCGATTTAAATGATACGCGTGTAAAAAAATGACTTGCTTGACAATTAGCTTATCCAAAAAGGACAAGACGAAGTTTCGAATGTACGTAGAATACCATTGACTGCGATACTTTGGCGACTCTAAGGATCAGTTGCATATGAAATATGTACTATATTAGTACATTAGGGCGACCAATCGATCTCCAATTCTTACGTTCGAATTGTCAGATATATTCACATATATTCGCATAGAGCATAAAGATGATGAAAGAGAGAGAACCTAAATGGAACAACAGATTATGAATAATCAAAATGACGTTAATTGTAATTGATCGAAAAGTGACTTTTAATAAATCATTTTGGAATAATTTTGACGCTATATTGATGATGATTTTTGTTCGGCTTTGGAAAAAAAGAGAGACAGCAAAAGAGAAAGGTGGGGAGAGAGAAATAGACTTTATTTCTCTCGCACGCATGCACGCACATACACGTCTAAACTTTACGTTCGAGACATACGCGACGAAATGAGGTATGTTTGTGAAAGATTAAAAATTGTTCCAGTTTATCTAAAGAATTTGTTAAAATGCAACGCATAAATAAAGCTCTTTGTTATTACGTGGGATTCACAGCAAAGAACGAGAGTACGGAAACAAGCTCCCACCGATCAGTGTATTCAACCCGAAACAGTATAATCGGTAACCGATAGAGACCTTTATTCTTAATTAAGAGCGTTGTAGAAGCTTTCTGGAAATACAATCTTCTTTTTATATTTACAAACGCTTCATTTCCAAACGTGGCTTTCGAAACTTTTTATTCGCGTGGTAAAAAATAAACTCTTATTGTTATAAAATATACACATACATATATATAGAATCCGTTAAACTCTTTTGTATTTTTATGTGGTCGCAATACGTTGTACTGTTTAGAGTTGATGGTATAGCTGTTATCTTACGAATACGGAACCCGTCGCGCGCTCATAAGGACGCTCCAAACTAGATTTTAAGCGACGTTAAGGATTTAGTTGATTTCATACTTTGTAACGTAGCTTTCGAG